GTGCAATGTATGGAAAATGCTCTTCCGACAAGAGGACGCGAACGACCGATCAGCTGATGGCACTGTAGCTCACATATCCACGCCTAATTATCACTTCGAGACCTCGCGAAAATAGGACCTCTCATGATTCGCCCGACCGATACGCATCATCTTTCCGCACCTGCATATACGAGTACACTCTCACACATAGGAACACGGACCGATGCTTTCTTAGGAAACTAGACAACGAGGAAGGTTGCAGTCGAGATCAGCTGATCCTGGTAACTGACCACACAGGGAAAAGCAGCGCACACACACTAACACTGGACATCACCTAATCAACGCATCCAAAAAGACAGCTCGATATACACATACATGACCTTGCGAACACCGAGAGGCAGTCATGAAGAGCGGCGGTAGAACGTGACATTGATGCGGGAGCTGAGCGGCGGCCATATTGTGACGTGACCGGCAACGTGCGTGAGCCAGAGAGAGCAGAGAGAGCAAGAAAATGAATGCGAGCGAGCCAAATGAGGAGGAGCACGAGTAGACGCGAGCGGGAACCGAGATAGGTCGGGTGTACAAGCGAGATAACCAATAGAGCAGACGAGAAAGGGGATACCAATGTGCCAGTCGGGGCGGCTGGTAGGACTAATGAGCGTGAGAGAGCAAAGGATAAATGATAACGATACGGATAATGCTAGGCCGACTGACGCACGCACTCTTGATCAGCCAATGATAACAGAGATAGGGGTAAGCTCATGAATAGGATAAACAGACTCTAACTAATCAACTACTTAAAAAATTCGACGGGCTATAATAATAGAACAGACAGCACTGGTGACTGGGTTGTCGACATAATTGCCCACTGGGATAAAAGTTCACATCCGAAAAGAAAGAGAATCAAAAGAGACGAGATATGACACCGCGTTACCCGTGGCCTATTCCCATGGAAGCCGCATCCGAGATCGGACGACCTTCTGATAGAGCGCCAGCGAGAATTAATTCTTTATCAGAGTCAAGGAGACATCAGAAGGAGAAAGATATCCATTTTCTTGTGTGTTATCCCGAAGGAAGCAAGGAAAGCGAGGGAAGGAGAGAAAGGACGAAACCTTTTGGAAACCGACCGTGAGTACTGTTCAGTACACATATCATGGTCGGGACTGCGCGAATTCGTGCAGGTTTGTGGAGCCCTTAACGTGGTCGATTGCAAGTCAGCTCTTATTTAACTAAAGAAATCAACTATCAACTAAAGAAAAAGACAAAAAAATGCCAAGAAGCTACTGCTGCTGCTGCTGCTGCTCAAGCTCAAGCAGCTGTGTATCCATTTGCACCGAAGAAGTGCATCTGATGATAATAAAATATAAAGCTGACAAGATTTTTTAAAATCATATCTTTTATAGAATTAAAAAGATGCTTATCAGGAGTGTTTGATAGTAAATATAAATTTCAATACAGTTTTATGATGTATATAGTATTCTTGAGAATATTTTTCCGGTAGCAGTTTGGATCAAAGTATTACTTACTAGTTACTTTTTACATGCCTATAAAAAAGTTTAAGATACGCTTGATTATAGAGGTTTTAGGTACTCGGTTTTAGGAATATAGCAGTTATTCTGATATACTATTTTACTAGAAGACTTAAAGCAGTTAAGTAATAAGAAAAGTTATTTTGTTTAAGTATCACCTTTTTTAGGACAACAAATTATGTTAATTTTTATGCGCGCTTTTATATGCTGAATCACTTAGTTAAAATGTTTATTTACAGACAAAAGTATTATATCTATATATCTATTTTATTGTAATAATGTACAAGAAAATGTATTCACTAAAATATAAGATCAAGAATTTATAATTAACTTCACCTGATGTTTTGTTCAATTAATTCAAAATTAAGGACATTGCGCTGTAAATATGACATAATAACACAACTTGTTGAAACTTCTAGTTATGATAGTTTAGAGTATTCTGAACTCATACGTATTTTTTGAGCATACATTATAATACTAATAACCGAGAAATTCGAGAATATAATATACAATTTAACACGTGCTCATATGGGACAGCGATCCAAATAATCAATAAAACCTCGTAGAAATAACACCAGCGTACAATTTTTCCATAAAACTTATAAATAATATTTGGTAATTCAACCCTCACAGTTTTGACCTATGTTATAAAACTTTTTATTAATATATTAAGTAAAAATAATAATGAAATAACACGTTCAAAATAAACTTGGCAACGTCGCATTTTGGCAGTATATAAGTGAGAGACAGAGAGCGCGAGAGTGCACGCGCAAGATTTGGCCTTACGTTTTGAATACATTCAAATATTTGAACGATATTATATTTACAGGTTATTTGGTGATGCTTTTTAGTGTAGAATAATTATTTGTTAACAGAAAATAAAAATGTTATTTCTGGAACAGTAATTCTTTGTAAGAAATATATACACCATCGGTCCCTTAAGCAGTTCCATCTTGTAACCTCGTTAGTTAATTGCCTAGGCTGTTCTGCCATCCACTCCTGCTCGCTCTCATTTCTCTCTTTTCACCCCTCTTTTCATGGCACAAGCCGCGATCTTTGCGTTCTCGCTCACCCTTATCGCTCTCTTACTCTCTCCCCCGCTCTTCTCGCTCTCGCTCTTTCTCGCGCCGTCTTCTTCGCCGACCGCGTCTTCCCCTCACCAGGCCCTGCAACGACACGAATGCGTGAATACTATGTTGCCATAGCTACGCTCGGCTGTTGCATCCGTGCGAGGAGAGTGCCACGCACAGGGCCAGCGAATTCGCTATGAACCCTGTCACAAAGTATAAATCACTTTCAAAATCACTTAAATAATATTGCGTAGGAAATTAATTTAAAAAATATTTGACACCACCAATTAAAGAAAACTCATAATATTTGATTTAGTTTGTCTAACTTGTCTAACGTCAATGTTCTTTCAAACTCAATTACATAAACACACCGATTTTTTATTGCATTCAATAACTGGACCAACTAATCTCTCATGAATTTTATAATTATTCCTGGACAATATTGGTATCTCAAAAATGTATTGGCTTGAATGTGCCTTATGCCTGCACACATTGCTCCTGTAATCATTATTTAAAAAAAATAAGATTGAGAATATTATAACATAACCCAATTAAATAACTGTTGGATGTACCTATGGACAGCTTTGCATTTATTTCAAATACTTTCTTTTGACTGCCAGGAACCTTACATAAGGGTCCACTTGATACTGATTGCACATGGCCACATTCAGTACATTTTACTCTGAAAAAAGAGCTTTTCCCTTGAATTTTCTCGTTCACTACATCATCCATGTGCAGTTTTTCCTTACATTGTTGGAAATACATTTGTTTAGCCGTGTGTTTCTAATCAATAATACGTAGTCCTTCCAATAGATATTTTGAGGTCAAGTCACTCGTATTTTCTGTACACACTTCTTTCACAGGAACAAGAGGAACACATTTTCCTTTATCGTTACTGCCATTTTCAGATCGTCTTAACATATATTTATAGACTTCTTGAGAAACATATTTTTCTTTCTAGTAATATCTTTTTGGAGGCATTACGTGTGAATTTAACAACAATAAATAAGAACGTTACCAATTTTCGACTCCACGTCGATAAGAGGTAGCTATTAAAAAAAGTACGATAGAGCAATGTCCTTAAGATGTTACTATGGTTAACAGGATAAACGGATTCGATTTTTATAACGAAAATTATTTCTGTAATACAACTGTTCGATAAATTTATTCGTTTTCCGATTTCCACGTGGATTTCTGCCTGTATATCGACATGGAATTATGGAACAGAAATCCAGGTGGACATCTAAAAATATTTTCATCTGGGATGACCGTATATTCCTTAGTTTCCAGGGTGGTGAATGTTTGTGTTGGTATGTGTCCATCGAACGCATTAGGATAAAATTTTTTTATATGTTTACATTGCAACGGTTACTGATTATAAATATCGATTTATTCGTGATTCAGCGGCACTCGAAGTGCGAAAGCGAACGATTAGCAGAAAGAGACAGGGCGCACGCGAGGGTTTTGAATAGAAGAGGCACGCGAACAGTATGATCTGAACCGTCAACTAAAGCAGCCGTGTCATAGAAAAGATTTTGTTGTGAGTGAGAGTGAGCTGAATAAGAGTACGGACGACGAAGGTATCACCACTGACGATGCAGCGAGGGTATCCTACAGAAAGAAGCGAGCAGTTTAGGGGCGGAAAACACAGTGGACGATCTGATCGGCGTAATAACTGCAGCAGCAACGTCAACAGAGGCCGGGAGTGCCCAGTCATCTCAAATCTGCACGCTTGATTACGGCTGATTACCGTAACCATAATACAGAGTAGGTGCACCTATCATTAGACTCGTCATTCGTAAAAAATGAACTGCGCGATAATTTAGTGCATGCATACAATAACCCTTTATATAGTCACGCCAAGCGTTAGTCCGTACATTTTCTCTCTCTCTCTTTCTCCCCGGATAATATTGTAAACCTATACGTGAGCGTAAGTCTTTCGGTTTGCATAAAGAATCTTGACGAGGAGTAGATAGCTCATACTGGTGTCAGAGGATATTTGTACTTCGGACCGCTAGTGAAATCTTGATCACCAGCTTGATTTCGCAAGCTTTTCATATCTTGTACATTTGACATACTATCTAAACCATGAACATTTTATAATATAACGTAAGTATATGTTACATACGTTGTTAAATATATTTCGTCTTATTCTATCATGTAATAGTCAAAATGTTTCATCCGATCTGTAATCAACCGCTTACAAAATATATGTAGATGAAAAATAATGTTTAATATGATTTAGAAATTATTATTTACTACATAATCTATTTTTGAAAATATTTAATCACAGATATTATTTCAAAATTATATTGAAATTGAAATCAAAGAAAAGATAATTAAATTATAGAATCATCAATTTCATTTTAAGTTTCCAGTATAATTTTCATGAATTTAAGAAAAGAATTGATGAAATTCTTACCAACATCTTCAGCTGTTGCATTAGGAGAAGCAAGAGCAAATCGTATGGTGTACCTTTGGTTGACTTTTGCGGGGACCATGTGTATTTTTCCTGAATCATTGATAGTACTTAAAAGTTTTTGGTTGAGTTTGTCTGAACCTCTTGCGCGGAAGCATACCAATCCTAACTTTAAAAGAGTAGTATATTAATTTTAAAAAATTAATTTATAAAATATTATGGTAGAATAAAGAGTCATGTAAGTAAATAATGAAGAAGATAACAAAATTATATATTTACAGTACTGATCATACATTTCCGAAAATTTTGTAGAAGAAATGCTATTATTTAAATAAAAATATCTCAGATTCTATTGCTTGTAGAGTAAAAATGAAAAAGGCAAATTCAAGCAGAGAAGAAATACTAACTTTAGTGGACCGCGAAAATTTTTGAAGTCACATTTTCTATTTTTTTACTGATGCGTCTTGTTTTAATGTTATTTTATAAGAGGATGATTCCCGCGTTTTTCGTGAATAGCGAAGGTATATGGAATAATACAGATTTGATATTAGGAAAGAGTGGCGTTTCAGAAATTCAATGGCGTTGAAGCAATAAAATTAGCAAAAATGTTGTAAATCAAATAAATCAATAACAAAAATGTAACCTTAGATAATGAGAGTCAACTCTCATTACCTAAGGAGAGTCAACTCTCATGATCTATACGAGGTCTGTCCGGAAACTATCGGGCCTACGTTTATATCTTCGCGCCATAGTGTTCGAGCGACCTCTACCGGACAGAAACGTCAACAGTAAAGCCTCACGAATCTATTAGTTACTTACTGACACCTGCCGGATGTATAGTTCATGCGCAGCGTGTCTTTGTTTACAGTGCCTTCCGCGGTCGTCGGATTTTGATATTTTCAAAAATGACTGAAAAACAAGATCAACGAATTTGCATCAAATTTTGCTTTCAACTCGGAAAAACGAGTTTGGAAACTATTGAAATGATGCAAAAGGCCTTCGGAAGCGAGTGTATGAGCAAACCACGAATAAAAGAGTGGTATAAACGGTTCAGGGATATTCGCACTTCTGTCGATAGTGATTCTCGTTCCGGCTGACCTTCGACGACAAAAACCGCAGATAATATTGAGAGGGTGCGACTTGCAATCGAACAAGATCGTCTTATGACTGTACGAGAACTAGAAGAAGACCTTGGGATACCAAAAATTATCATTTCAGAAATTTTAACCGAAAATTTAGGAATGAAACGCGTGGTGCGAAATTCATCCCAAAATTGCTCACAGCAGAGCAGAAGAACATTCGCTTAGAAATCGCTCTGGACAATCTAGAAATGATCAATAATGATGATAATGTGCTTAGAAAAGTTATTACAGGTGATGAATCATGGGTTTATGGTTATGATCCTGAAACAGAATAACAATCTTCAAAGTGGAAGTATTCTGAATTGGTAAGACGAAAATAAAGCACCTCAAAGTCGGAGCAATGTTAAGTCAATGTTGATTGTTTTTTCGATTGTGAAGGTGTTGTACATCACGAATATGCACCAACAGATCAGACAATCAATAAAGAATACTACGTTCAAATTTTGAAAAGTTTGCGTGATGCAGTAAGAAGAAAACGGTCGCACTTTCGGGAAAGTGGTGACTGGCTTTTCCATCACGATAATGCGTCAGCGCATTCATCCAATTTTGAGCAGCAGTTTTTGAGCAAACGCAATATCGCATTATTTCGACAACCTCCATAGAGTCCCGACATAGCCCTTTGTGACTTTTGGCTGTTTACAAAACTAAAAAAACCACTCAAAGGACACCGACTCGATGATAAAACAACGGTTGAAATCAATGCGACGAGTGTACTTAAGGCTATCCCTAAAAGTGAGTTTCAAGACTGTTTTGAAAAGTGGAAACATCGATGGAACCGTGTTATTCAATCAAGTGGGGATTACTTTGAAGGATACCACCCACCAGATGATAAAGAATAACACTAGCACGGAAATATAAAGGTAGACCCGATACTTTCCGGACAGACCTCGTACTTATCGATATGTTTGATAAAGTCCGTTAGTTGGATTTACTATTTTTTCTTTCTTTTCTGGTTCTGATGGTCTTGACTGGTTCTGATATTTCCTTTATTAGTGACTGTACCTCGGATTCCTTATTTTCAATGTTGTGATTTTATGTGATTCCTTCAATATGCAGTAACGATTACACGAATGTGCCAATCTCAGTCAATCATACTTAGCACAAGTTCATCGAGGGATTGATGGAATAAACGCCAATTATAAAATGAGAATACATGAAACTACCGGTTGCACTTGTGTGGTTATGTGATGAGAGCCACGGCTCGCGCCGTTGGCTCCATCAACGTCTCTCCCGTCCCGGTGACAGTGAGGGAGAGAGAGAGAGAGAACAAAGAATATAATTTGGGCGCCGGCAGGGTTGGCACGTGTAAGGCGCCGCCAATTGCCCGCAACTCAAGGGTTTTCGGTGGGAGGCGCCTGGTGCCTGGCAGTAGACTGTGACAGCGAGTCGGTGTAACACGCTTTGTCCGCGCCGTCTGATTGCGTGATTTTGTCGTGGCCTTTGTAACGGCGTGAGCGAGGATTTATTCTGCGACGCGAGTACAGTGGAGTGTGGATGTTTGACACGAGACCTGTTGTTTCAAGAGAGAGGCTGGGAGGTTCCTTGAACGAGCTATCAGTATCTGCACAACCCAGCGACATCGATCAGTTTTCCTCCAGATTGGTCGAGTTTTTCTCTCTCTCTCTCGTAAGATCGCATCGCCGGCAATCCGTGGAGTATAGGGAGGATCAGCGGTTACTTCTTACTTGTACATTTTTGCTCAGTTCGATACAAAATTTGTAATTTATCCTTCTTACAATTGGATCCGACAAAACAACTTTAAATTTAGTATAGACATCGAAAATAATTACGAGGGTGCGGTCAATAAGTCTTTACAAAATCCAAGAGATAGCGCTCGTCACGATTAAATTATGATGTTTTTGACAAGCAATACTACTAACTAGATATCGTACAAAGTTTCAGCTCGATTCATTAAGCCTTTTTTTGTGAGAGTTGGTTGAACAAAAAGTTATTGATTCATTTGAAAAATGGAAAAACACAGTTTCGAGCGGTAATAAATCATTTTCATTTGAAAGGCCTTACACCAAAAGAAATCACAGTTGAGTTGATTAAATCAATCGCATGATTCAATCGTGAGAGAATTCGTGCCTCCCGAATCCTCTCTTTAAGAAATTTATACGAGCGACCACAAGCTACCCCTCAACGGGATCGGTCGTATTTCCGTTATAATTAGGATTAATGAAATTAATGAATAGTCGTTTTTGTTAAAAAGAGTAACAAAATCTTATTTCATTAAATTTCCTTGCTAATAGTACTATTACATTAGTTTTATGATTGTTGTCGTAATTCAAGTTTATAAAATAGTTTTTTAAATTTATTTTTGGTTTATTTTCTTTTTTCTGTATTTAAATCTATATAAGACATAAGCCGTAATTTTTGGTTAAATTGAAGCGCTCAATATACCATTATTAGCTTAAGTCCATATTGTAATACCTGCCTTAATTCTCGATAATAAATTACTTACAAGGAAGGTACCCGAGGTGTACCTCACCGATTTTCTTGAAATTGTGATATGTTGTAGAACATCAAAAAATATTCGACGCGTATTTTTTTATACGTGCCCATAAGCTCATTTAAGGGGTGAAACCCACCCTTGAAGTTCACCACTAAAAACAAATTTTTTTTAATTTCTCGAATACAATTCGTAATTTTTTACTGAAACAAAGTGGGTAACACTTGTTATTGAAAAGCACATATTTATGCATTGTTTTTAGTCATCTGACTCGTAACCCCCGTTTTTTATTAATGAAAAACTATATTTGATGACCATTTTTTTCACTATACACATTCCAAAATCTGTTAAATCTTGACAAAATTAATTGTTTTATGCACAATAATCAAAAATAAAGTTGACCTGTTCCGGCATTTTCAAAAAAAAAATCCCTTGAGGGGGTGAGCTACCTCTAACATTTATACTATTATATTTCATTATTCCATTACGATATCATGGTGTAAATCTCTTGGATACTATTAAATTTGTTAAGTAGTTGATGTAGTTTGAAATTTTCTGAAATCAGCCCTTACAAATGAATTCATCCCTAAAACTCAATCTCAAGTATTATTTTTTCATTACTTGAAAATACCCTAGGACTATTCAGTGGCGTAAAACGTGTAATAATATTAGTTCACATCCTTGGTATTGAATTAGAATTCTTCACCTCACTAATGTATCAACCCCTATTTTTCAATAAAAAAATGACACCCTTTTCCATATGAAAATACTAATTTCTTGAGTTTGACGAAAAAAATTTTGGCAGTATGCACAATATTCAAATACGAAATCGACTGTTCTCACCTTAATAAAAATAACCTATAATAAAGGGTGTACCAGCCCCACAGGAGATATTGTCGTATCTCTATGATTTTATTCTTTTTCTATGGGACTTTCAAAAGTAATAAAAAATTAATGATTCAAAGTACAAAAAAATTTTAAATTTAATATTTCAATAGTTTCGAGTTTTAATGTTACTTTTTATAATCCTGGCAATAATGATAATCATTAAAAAAATGTTTCAAGCATAATGATTTCTTACACCAAGAGCATCTTACAATTGCTGAGTTAGAGCAACCAGGAACTTCACAACGCTCATTACAATCATTACCAAAACTAAAATCTATGGGGTTATCAAATTTACCTGGCTTTGATTCAACGTAGCCACTTTTATACCATGAATATTTGAATAGGTTATTGTATCGAGGAGATGACAATTGATTATGTACCAAGGATTGGAGTTTTATAATGTTATTTCTTTTATGAAGTTCTATATCCTCATTCATTAATGTTACACTGTCCTCGAAGCGACGGACGTAATTTTTCCACACTCGGAAGCCGAAAGCATCTAGTGGCTGAATTTTGCCTGTTGTTTCCTTTTGGAATTATTTTTACATCAACAATTTTGTTTGGAGGTGCTGCTTCCTTTACAGCATCAGGGCAATGCCCACTCCACGAATCAATTAATAAGACACTTGAATGCCCAACATTGGGAAAATACACATCCTTCATGTTTTGAAATGTTCTGTAACCATT